CTGGAGGCGCTCGGTGGCGCGGGGGCGCGGTAGGGATGCTCGCTGCTTCCGAGCCAGTGGGTGGTCCTGCATTTCCCCCGAGCACCCGGCGCAGCTCTGCCGGTGCGATCGATAAATAAGCAGAAGAGAGAGAGAGAGGGAACCGCACGCACTCCCCGCCACGCAGGTTAGGCAAAGGCGTCTCCAGCTTTTCCCTCGCCTTGACCTTTCTCCGCCCCCGCCCCCTCGGGCTCTTGTTGCTCCACCCCAGCCACCCACCAGCCCCAGCGCCAAATGTCACCAAGGGAGAGCATCCAGGTGGTTCTGCCCAGGGAGGAGAGCAAGCCTCGGATGAACAAAGGGAAGCTTCAACGCTCTCGGCTGCGTTTGGTGGAGGAGAGAAGGAAGGGGACCAGTGGCTTGCTTCTGCCTCCAAGCACCGGTTCGAGACGAGCGTGGGAAAAGGGGCCAAAAAAAAAAAAAAAAAAAAAAAAAAAAGAGACTCTGGAAAAGCTGGGAAGGAGGGTGAGCGGAGCGGAACGAGAAGGAATTGGTTGCCTTTTGGAGGCGAATGGGTCGCAAGACCTGCAAAGCTCCGCAGAATTTTTAGGTGCTTTCCCCTCTTTCCTTTTTTAAAAATTTATTTTTGTTCAAAACAGATGTTAACGTTGCTGATGTGCCTATATTATTCGTCCAACTTACAGAAAAGTCATACAAGTCTCCTCTGCTTGGGTCTTGCCGCAACTCCTTTCCCTGTCCTTTGCGAATGACAGGAGAATTTAGAACCTTTTCTAAATGTCAGCGTGCAGAGGCGTGCGTCTCTGACAGCTTATATCCTTTTCACGTTCCTGGCGCATCCCTGCGCAAATCTAAAATGGTCAAAGGAGGGAAAGGTGTCCCGGTGACGGGTACGTGATGAGGGGAGAGACAGGAAAATTGTCATGGCCAACTGATTTGGTTTTCTTGTACCCCCCCCCCACCTCACAAGTCATTAGGCATCTTCCTTAAAGCTAAGCTTATAACATTTATAGCCACTAGATGGCGGAAATGGCGAGAAGTTAAAGCTACACCTAAAATAGTTGCTTTAGAAAGGAAAAGGATAAAAAAATTTTTTTTCTTTTTCTTTTTTTGACTGATTCTCAACAGAGAATCTGATCACATAAACATCCTTAAATTCTCTAATGCCACCCATCTCTTTTAGTGTTTATTTGAGACGTACTGTACTACTCAGGCCCGAGTCTGCATTTTGATGACTATGGAATGTGATGAAGAGTTTCCAGTTAAAATGTGTTTGAAAATCAAATCTGTACCGAATCACCATCAATATAATTATTAAGATCTTTGGAAAAAAATGAGATTTCGTGTTGATTTTTTAAGAAGGGCCTGACTTCTACGAGAAAAATTACTTTTTAAGACTTAATTTGGTTGACTTTGGTTTGGAAAGTAAGTGGACTGTGAAGTGCTGTGATGTACCATATATAGGTTGACTTTCAAGTCCTGGAGACATAGGCATGATACTTCAACTTTAAAATCGTAAATGTTTGTTCAAATAAAACTCATAAACTAAAACTAAAGTGTAGGAAATCTTCAGAGAATGAGAATATACAATCCTTATAATATGCAGTATTAAGAAATGGAAAGGTATGAACCTTTATGTTCTTATAGATGTAGAGGTTTAGGAATTCCTGTGTTGGTAGCAAATGAAAATGGAGCTAATACACCATGGAAGTCTGGGAACAAAGAACTGAAAACACCTGCTGTTTATCTGTTTGTGTTTCCTGCATGAATGATGCTCCTTAACAAACCTGCATAGTCTGTGAAGCTGAAAACTAGCAAATGAAAAGGAGGAGATTGTCCACAAGTTACTAACCTTTTTCCAATCCAATAAAAAGATGCGATCAAGGCAGGATGTGGGCATGGCATCCAGAGACAGGAGAGTGATGAGTATTCCATTAATGCCAATTATGGCATGCTATCTTGTAAAGACAAGACAAATGACCTAAACAGAGTCTTTAAATTTTCCTTCAAGGAGACTAAATACAAATACAAAAGCAATATTTAACAACATGAGATGCTTTAAATAAGCAATGAAACATCCACAACTTTAGGAAAGTATTGCTCCTTAAGCAGCATTTTACAGTGGAGAGATTCTGGGCTTGGTACTTAAATATAATCTAGATTCAAATTCTAGTCCAGGAAATGACTTTCTGGTTTTATTTCATTTAACAAATTAACTTCTATAAGTAGAAATTGTAGATAATGAAACAAAGCATTTTAAGTCTCTTTTGAAGATCAAAGAACATGATACTTCTGAGCATGGTGTTTTTCTTAACACATGGTACTGTTTTTTTAATGCGTAATGCTAATGCAATTCATTTCATCCAGTAAACTCATTGAATTCCCACAAATGTTATGTATATATTCTATTGTATGTGAATAAAATTCAATTCTTTCTGTCCTAGCAGGCAAATGGCTAATATTTTCATTTTCAATTATGCATTGAAGTATTATTTGTAGATCAGATATCCCAAACTCACCAGAATACTGTATTTTACTTCCTTGTCCAAAGATTTCAATTCATGCCTCTTGTTTTCTCATTCTGTATACCATAACGTTGGTAAATGGAAGGTAAGCTCGGTGAACTCAAACTGATTTCATCACTCTTTTCATTTATCTCCTTGTTTTCTCTCTTGATAAATGAAGACCAGGAAAAAAAAACCTGGTCAACATCCTCTTCGCCATTTCCCCTAGAGATATGCAGGCATCTTGCAATGCAGTAAGTCTATATATTCCATATTTATTATCAATCCATCCTTACATGGTACTTAGAGAGTTTTACCCTATTTTAATACTGTATATTCAGTTAGAGATGTGATAAATAATATAGATTCCTTATACCTATCACACACTTACCTTGATGATATCATGGCACATCTTACAAAAATCACAGCCAGGAAGAGGACATCGAGACTCTATGAGTCCATCTCATCTGTCACACCAACATGTCACAAACTGGGAGATTTGTGAACAATGGATATTTATGTCTAAACCAAGGTCAGTTAATTAACAGTTTTGGTGTTTGTGAGAGGTGGCACCTTCTGGCTGTGTCTCACATTATAGAAGGGGAAGACAGTTCACTGAAGCTTCTTTGATTAAGATATCCTTCCCAATCATGAAGGTTCTGACCTAATCATGACTTTCAAGATGTAATCACCTCCCAAAGGACTCCAACTTCTAATACTGCCACATTGTGATTTACATCTCTTTTTTTTTAAATTTATTTATTGCTTTTACTTTATGTGTATGCATGTTTTGCCTGCCTGTATGTAAGTGCACCCACGTCATGCAATGCCCACAGAGGACAGAAGAGGTCATCGGTTCCTCTGGAACTGGAGTTACAGACAGTTGTTAGCAGCCATTTGGGTGCTGGGATTCAAACTGCGGTCTTCTGCAAGAACAATCAATAACTGCTGAGTCATCTCTCCAGCCCCTGTGGGTTACATTTCAAAATATGAATTTGTGGAACAAAAACATTCAAAATATAGGCAATGTGATCCACTGACCATATTCAAATTTTATGAATTTTACAAACATTGATTTCTGTGCTTATATTTAGTTCTGTCTGGTTTTACCACACATACATATTTATTCATCATCATGGTAAACAAGGGAAATATTACCATCATAAGGAGACCCCTTTAAAGCCACAGCATCCTCCCTCTATCCTGTAACTCCTGTCATCCACCAATCTGTTCTGTTATCATTTGTCAATTTGAGAATGTTGCCAAAAGGAATCATGCAGCATATAACTTCTTAAGATTGCTTATTCAGGGGCTGGAGAGATGGTTCAGGAGTTAAGGGCAAAGGGCAAAGGCTGCTCCTGCAGAGGACCCACATTCAATTCCCACCTCCCACGTGGTGGCTAACAACCATCTGTAACTCCAGTTCCAGGGGACTCTGATACCCTTTTCTTACCTTCACAGGGATTGCACAGCTTGTGTGCATTTGCATACATGCAGGCAATACACTCACACACATAAAATAATAATAAAGGAAAAAATTAAAAACATTAAAAAATATCTGCCTACCAGGAGAAAACTTAAGGCCTGCCAAAGAAATTTGATTTAGCTAACTCTGAAGATAGGGTTTGTTTCTCTCAGCCTCTGAGGTGAACCTTACTTCCTTAAGTACCACTTCCAAATTCAGATGGATTTGCACCAAATTCCCTTCTGGGGTTTGGTAATTCTTCACACCCCTGATTCAGTTGAGTCTATGCCTCCTACTCTCTTATTCTCTAAAACTCCTGATCATACATGCAAATTGAGCTTGAATTTATTTCATTCAGTTATTTTCCTTTTGTTAAAATACTATATTAATGATTCAGATCTGACTTTCCTACATTAATTAATGTCTGTCTTGATTTATCATTGGTATTTTATTATAGTTTTATTTTTGCATTTCTCTAGTGGCTAATTTTATTGATAATGTTATTTTATATATTTGCCATCTACACATGTTCTTCAGTCAAGTATATATGTTTTTTCCCTGTCTTTGGTCCATTTTTAATTAAATTATCTTTTAATGTTAACTTTTAGGGATCTTGATTTATTCTAAATAATCTTCTGGAGTCAGATATTGTGATGGCTAATCCTGGGTGTCAACTTGATTGGATCTGGGATTAACTGAAAGGAAAGAGATCTTCTTGACTGGATCGTCAAAAGCTGGAAGACACACCCTAAATGTGGGAGTTACCTTCTGATGGCAGCCTGTATCAAAGGCCAAG